AGGAGATTTGATTGTAAAATTGAATTTATTTGCAGGCAACCTGAAAGACTTGGTTGAGTTGATTGTAAAATTGAACTTATTTACGGAAATTGAATTTTATTCATTACTTTTAATGTCCTGACTGTTCATATCAAGCACTTTAATTAAAAAGGCTGCTTGCTTTAAAAGCGTTACCTCTAATAATTTTACGTTTAATATATATATATATATATATATATATATATATATATGTGTTATGTGTGTGTGTGTGTGAAAATTTATGAAATGTATATAAATACAAATAAATATATATATATATAATTATTTATATATTATATACGCAGTACTTATTAGAGTTTGTCTGACGATCGAATAAAAGCGTGAAACCCAGGGTCACAAACTCACATCTATCAACCAAATATATATATATATATATATATATATATATATATATATTTTACTCACTCACACACACACACACACACACACACACACACACACACACACACACACACATATATATATATATATATATATATATATATATATATACATGCCCAGCGTCGTATTATTTTTAGTTGGCACCTATATGTATAGACTCTCCATATATTTATTAAACATTATTTTTCGGACTGAATATTCTAGAAATTTGAATCGTATATATATATATATATATATATATATATATTTGTATATTTACACACACACACACACACACACACACACATATATATATATATATAAACACAAAAACACACACACACACACACACATGTATATATACAGACACACATATATATATATATATATATATATATACATACATATATATATATATATATATATATATATATATATATATATATATATACATACAGACACACACATATATGTACGCACATACACACACACACATATTTCAACCGTTGTACGTTCCTACCTTCTTCAGAGTCTCTCTATATTTCTGAGATGAGCTCTTGTAACTATTTACAGTATTTACATTGTTCGAACCGTTGTCCTCATCTTCAATGCCATATTAACGACGTTTCGACCGTTCTACGTTCATGCCTTCTTCAGAATCTGTCTATATTTCTGAGATGAGCTCTTGTAACTATTTACAGTATTTACATTGTTCGAACCGTTGTCCTCATCTTCTATGCCATATTCACGACGTTTCGACCGTTCTACGTTCATGTTCTTCAGAACTATATTTCTGAGATGAGCTCTTGTAACTATTTCAGTATTTACATTGTTGAACCGTTGTCCTCATCTTCTATGTCATATTCACGACGTTTCGACCGTTCTACGTTCATGCCTTCTTCAGGATCTGTCTATATTTCTGAGATGAGCTCTTGTAACTATGTTCTTCTTATTCAGTACGGCTCAGTTACTGCTCGCCCCTTTTAAACTGATGAATGTGTCATGTGTCCTCTACGACAAATCGCCAAGTGTATAAAAGTGTTGGTTGATTTAATCCAGTGACTTGCCCCAAAAGAATTGTGAGTTCAATACCTCGCCACAGCAGAGGTTAACAAAAACTTGGTGAGTTCAGTTACTAATGAGACATAACTGAAACTGAGATATTCAGAAAAGGCATGGCATGTGGAACTAGAACAACCTATCCCAGCGGACTAAATAAAGGGTTTGGTTCGAAATACCAACATATATCACCTGAAGAAGACCGGAGAGCATAACAGTGAAAACATTGTGAATATAACAATAAAGATGAAGACAACAGTCCAAATAGTATAAATAGAATTTAGAATACTCAGAAATATAAACAATTATTAGTATTGACATTCAAACTAATATCCTCATCTACACTATTTAATTTATTCAGACTGTTGTCCTCATCTTTATTGTCATATTCACGACATTTCTGTCATTGTACACTCCGGCCTTCATCAGGTGATACACATTAAAATTTTGAACCGAACCCTTTATTTAGTCCACTCAAAAACAGAGAAAAAGAATAAGTTCTATTGAATCCATTTTGGCCCAGTGGATAAAAGTGTTGGTTGAAGTAATGCAGTGATTTGATCCAAACAGTTGTGAGTTCAATACCTGGCCACAGCAGAGGCGAACAAAAAACTTGGAGAGTTGAGTTACTAAAGGGAAATAACTGAAATTGAGATATCCGGAAATGGCATGTCACGTGGAACTGGAACAATCTACCTAGAAGGCCGGAGCATACAACGGCCGAAACATCGTGAATATGACAACAAGTATGAGGACAACAGTCTGAACAATGTAAATAGTGTAAATCGCTTTCCGCATACCGATTTTCAAAGCAAACGACCCATCAGCAATTCGAACGCCATTGCTTAACTCTCTCAACCGACATACAATTCTGACAACATAAGCTAAATAAATAAATTAAAAAAAATGAATTCAAGTTCCAAATGTCACAGAGGACTTACAAGTAACGACGGGACTCAAATAAGCTGGGTTGTAGCATTGTAAGGCTGCCATACTTTTTAAAGGTTAATTGTTTCTCAAGATGTCATGGTTGGACGCGATTTTCTCTGCATAATATTCATGGAATTTAAATATGGAATCCGAAAATTAAATAAACAATCTTATTGCTTTCTTTTTTTAGTTGTCTATTGCGAGGTGAACGGAGATTAGGATGCATAGCAAGGCCAACGCTGAAATGAAACACTATGGAAACTAAGCTTGGTGAATGTCTCTGTCGGCTGGCGTATTATTTGAAGAAGTTGAAACCAAAAGTTAGGGGAATTTATAGCGCTAAATGGCTTCCTTATTTTTGTCTGGTCATTTATTTATTTATTTATTTTTTTAGAAATTAGACGCAGCACTTTGTATGAAGTATAGAAAGATTGCATCTGACTATTTCGACAGTAAAACGATGGGACCTATCTGCCAATCTAGACCTACGATTAAATTCATGCGATCGACCTACCAAACTACCATAACAATCACATGAAAATCTTTATTGAAATATTTTCAAATATTTCCATTGTGTCTGCCCTGAGGAACTTCCGCCTGCTGTTGCCCCAGTGACATGAATTTAAGCGCGCTACTAGATTGGCATCTAGGTCCCACCCGTTCACGGTTGAAATAGTTAAATGTAACCGCCACTTCTATCCAAAAAGGTTCTTTTTTTCGCACAGTCCACCTGTAGAACTCCCTTTCGATTCATGGCTTTTTATCAAAATTTAAATAAAACATCAATCGCCATCTTTTATCTTCTTGAATCCCGTTCATCTTTTGTCCTTTCCTCAATCCTCCCTATACTCAGTCTTTTCTCTCACTTTCACTCCCTGTAAACCCCTGCGTACTAGTGGCATTCCCGCCTTGCCTGGGGTGAAATGATTAACAAAATTTAAATGCAACGTCAATCGCCATCTTCTATCTTCTTGAATCCCGTTCATTTTTTGTCCTTTCCTCAATCCTCCCTATATTCAGTCTTTTCTCTCAATTTCACACCCTGTACCCCCCACCCACCCGGCGTACTAGTGGCATTCCCGTCATGCTTGGGCTGAAATTATTCAAAAACTTAAAATGAATAAATAACGAGGAAAGCTACGTCACAGCGATGAAAAAGTAACTAAAGCCGAGATGCCAGCTCAGGACCAATAACATTGCAAACCCTTTGAAATTTGTCAAATATCTCGAGATATATAGCAGGGGTCATATTGGCAACCAAAATTATGAGCAAAAATAAAGATCCGTTTTCTGTTTGAATTCCTAGGATGGGGAGTAACCATTATTTACGTTATTTACACGCTGATTATTATACGCATCTTTGTTGTCATTACAACGTTTCACCTGTTTAAACGGGCCGAGACGTAACTGTGCCGTACTGAATAAGAAGTAGACGAGATATCCCAGGAGATGAGCAGCGGATCCAGAAAGTCTACCCTTCCCGTTAAATAAATTGCTAGATCTTTTTCAAGGAAACGTTGGATCATTGTGACGCCCCAGATAATTTTTGTCGCCAGAATCAATCTTGCACACACAAACACACACACACACACACACACACACACACACACACACACACACACACATATATATATATATATATATATATACCATAAAAAACTTTATATATATATATATATATATATATAAATTTAAAAAAGAAAGAACAGTAAGATATATAATCCAGTGTTCTTATAGATATTTTTATTTTTACAAAATAGTGCTCAATGTAAATTTACAGAGCATTATTATTATAAATAAATTGATTTAAAATATGTTTTTTTTTTCGCTACTCAGTTCTAACCATGTTTCAAAAATGGAAGGTCCGACTTTAATAATATAATTAAATTAAAGACATTAGTTCCATTTCATCCTCAAGCGAATTCGACCTTCCATTTTTGAAACATGGTTAGAACTGTGTAGCGGAAAAAACATATTTTAAATCAATTTATTTATAATATATATATATATATATATATATATATATATATATATATATATACCAGTCGACAGTGTGTCAAATATTGCAGCCAGATACGATCTTGTTAGTTTTCTCAAAAGACACTCATAAATATTCATCAGGTTTACTGAAATGTATAGGTAAATTATGGCGGATATATATATATATATATATATATATATATATATATATATATATATATATATATATATAACAGAGGAATGCTTGCTGGGTCTGAATGTTATTGGACTCTAGCTGTCTTGAAATTCATATTTTTTCCATATCGTTATCATTAACATTAATTAAAATTATACGCTTTTTTTTATAATCCAGAAATAAACTTGATAAGGCTGGGAGAAAACCGGTTGTTTTTTAGCTTTTTAAATGCCATATGCATTTTTGCTTATTCATAACTATCATAAAAAATCTTATTTAAGCATATATATATATATATATATATATATATATATATATATATATACGCCGTATGGAATACAAACACAAAAATATGCTAACAACGAATTAGCCGAAAGCGCTCGGGAGAATAAACACTTTGCGCAGTTTCTGCACACTGACAGCCCCCATAAAAGAAAACAATAAGGAAACTACGCCTTACGACCGTATCACGTTGAAATACTAGTTCCCGTACGATTACCGAATTTAGTCAACGTTGACTCTGGTCAGTACCAAGATGGGTGACCTCTTGGGAATACCAGGTGCTGTAAGCTAGCATGTGCGCAAGGGGTAATGCATAATGGCACTGAATTGTTTACCGAGGAGCCGAGTTCCAATTCCAGTTGGGTTTGTTATATTCACACAAGCGCCAATACTCTTGGGAAAAGCATGAATCCACCTCTTCTTTCCTCGCAGCTAAAAATCCTAAATAATTATATCGGATATATCAGCACTCGTTTATAAAGACGGTTGACACTACATCTTTTAGACCAGAGCTCTATACGGGCCCATTTATGCCAGCATGGAAGTTTCATGCGCAACATAATTGTCGATAACACTCATGTGTTATACACCTTTAATGACAAAATACAGCCCATATTATAATTATAGCCCTTATCATACCCCCCCACAAAAAACCCTCTGATAACATTAAATATGAACATAGCCAGAACATTGAATTGGTCGTATTCGAGAATTAAGCACAATTTACTTAATTTTTTGCGATACATATATATAATATATATCATTGACATTTTTTAAAGAAATTTGGATTACAACACAAAAACAGAGAATGTCTCATATCGAGAATATTTTCATTGAACATGAAGAAAAATTAATTATTTTTTAATAATATGTAGAAATCTTTTTTTACCTGAAACGGTCGCGAGACCATAAATATATGTCGTAAAATTATATAAAACAAAGCATAATATTTTTCTAAATAAATCCACATTACAACCAAAAACGTTTTGGCACCTCTCTTCTTCTTCTTTTTATATATATATATATATATATATATATATATATATATATATATATATATATCAGGTAACATGAAAAATGATGAAATGAAAATTCAAATTATTTAGGTTCTTTGATAAAATTCTTTATTAAACCAAAGATCCGAGTTAACAGTAAATTGTAAACACAGTCTACCTTGTACCTTAGAATTCAGTTAGACTTCGAATTTGACAATGCTTTTTCTTAGATTTTAGTTGAACTATACCATATATGGCTTATCTTTCTGTTGGTATTTATTTACATTTAGTATAATTTTGTATTAATCTCCTGGTAGTGTTAGTAACATCTTGTACGGATTTGTTAGTGTTTTGACATTTTGCATTGATTGATTATTGTTATTAACGCCTTATATTAATTTACCAAATAATTCTATATGTCTAAATTATTTACTGGTTTCTTAAAGAAGCTATTTATTTATCAACTATAAAAATGTTTTTTTTATGTAGGAAACTCACAAAACATAAATTGTCTAGCATTTTGTTAGATTACCATTTAGTTTGTCTTAGGAAATGACATTGTCTATTTTCACCCTGTCGGCTGGGGCTTCAGAATGCGCCGACTGCACTTCTGCAGAGGGGTAACCCCCCACTCCCAAATTAGGCGTCCTGGGTAAGACGATAAACTACATCCGACAGCAAGGCCTCTGATCAGGAGGTTTTGAGGAGAGTGGAATAACCCCTTAATTGATGGAGTTCCCAGGTCCACCCTGACCCGGGGTGGTAGCAACTGTTAGGGTCCTAACTATGGGCAAATATTTAACCGCAAACTGGGGTTAAAACGGTATGAAAGTGTAAAAATAGGTTTTAATACCAGCAATATATTTTTGTAAAAAAATTATTCCCAGCAATGAACTTTGAAGAAAATAATTATTACCAGCAACACATTATTACCAGCAATATATTTTCGAAAAATATTACCAGCAATAAAAAACTTGTCGGCATTAAATAAGCCACTGAGGTTGATATGCCGTAAAACAAACCAAACCAAACAAACATTGTCTAATGTACACTTACGTATCCATTTACATCTGCGCTGTTTAACGTCTGTTGCTGCCATTAATTCCAAATCCATGGGTTATGTCCCATTTATGGAAAAATAATTTTTAAATTAAATAAAATGAAATAATTGTGTATATAGACTCTGCTTTTAAATTCTTATATATATATATATATATATATATATATATATATATATATATATAGGGCTCCATACAATTCATATGTTTGAACGTAAATTGAGCGGATAATAATATAAAATATATAATAATATAAAATATAAAAAAATATTTGAAAAGAATTACACTCAACATTATCGAGTGTAAAGTTTTTCATATATATATATATATATATATATATATATATATATATGTGAACACACAAAGTCAAAAAGTCTGTTTCATACTAGACGCAATAGTCAGACCGCGAATGACTAGATATTTCCACGGCTATTTATATATATGGGTCAGTGGTGCATTGTGGGTAATCTATTCTGGCGGTTATTTTTACGGGTGTGGCTTTTTTATTTATTTATTTATTTGTTTGGGTTAATTTATTTTACATGTTTTTCTTCAATGTTGACTTCAATGTTCACTTTTATATTTACATATGCTCCATTTCTGATATTAAGCACTTTATCACATAAGTATAGCATACCTTAAAACTATATTTCTTCATATATATATATATATATATATATATATAATTTTGGTCATTGAGTGGTGCTGTTAATAAAATAGTGCTCAATATATAATAAAAGAGCTATACTGCTAGTATATATATATATATTTGTGTGTGCGCGTGTGTCTATTAAATAGAACAAACAGAAGAGAATGGCTATGATATCGAATAAATCGTTTGATGTCAGACTGAATCTTTCTACGATCGCTGAAGAACGGTCGAAAGTGCGAGGATCATAACACCTAGCGTCGGCAAATTTCTTTACAAGTTCCCACCTGACATAAAACATCTTATTCAAACCCCGGAGAAACTCGCCAATGATTGAACACACATCCCCTAGCCGTTCCATTTAACAGAACTTTTTTTTTTAAGATAGAATACTTGATAGATCAGGTATTCTATCGTTTAAAAAGTTCAGTTAAATAGAATATATATATATATATATATATATATATATATATATATATATATATATATATATATATATATATAGGTTTTATGCAAAATAATACAAAATAAATATATATATATATTTTTTTTTTTTTAAGACATTTTATGTTTAACATTTTTTTAAATAATTGTCGGACTTTGTCCATTTCATAATATATATATATGTGTGTGTGTGTAAAACTTGTTCAGCTTGTTAATCACGCTAGATAATTGCCCTCTCCCAGAAACTGTAATTTAGGTCTTCAGCATAGTCATCGTCATCTATATGTGTGTATATATATATATATATATATATATATATATATATATATATATATATATATATATATCATCCATATCATTTTCTTTATTCGGATTGTTATCATCATCTTCATTGCCATAGTCACAACGTTTCGGTCGTTGTACGCTCCGGCCTTCTTCAGGTGATTCGAGGGGTGAGTTAAAGGAAAATAACTGAGACACCCGAAAGATGCATGGCACGGGGAACTAGAACAATCCACCCTGGTGGACGAAATATAGAGTACTGTTTGAAATTCCAATCGCCTGAAAATGATACCAGTCTGAACAATGTAAATATAATCATAATACCTCACAAAAGATATATATATATATATATATATATATATATATATATATATATATATATATAATTCTTGATTTATTTATCTGTCTGCCTATTTGATCTTTGTTCATATCTAACTAGTTATGATTTTACCGTGTTAGGTATCTAGTTTACTAATTTTTAGTTTTTGAACAAAAAGACAGAGCGACGAGACAAACAAACATAAAAATAAATCTGAATTTTATATATATATATATATATATATATATATATATTAACAGACATATAACATAAGACAGACTAAAAAAGATAGATAAATAACGTTAGAGAGATTATGAACAACCTTTGATAGATAGAAAGACATTTTTGGTTTCAATAAAATCCATCAATGTGTTTTTCGCACAAAGAATTTATCAATTTTGTTCTTGTCAAAATGGCGATGAATCTTTTTAACCGAAAGGCAGAAACCTTATCCGATCGCGTATTTAATTTTTTTTTTTTAAATTTACCAAAGCTTCGTATGTCTGTGACAATGAGAGGGAAGGAAAGAGTAAAAAAGAACGAAAGAAAAGAGTGAAACTCTGCTAAAGAGAGAGAAGAAAAAAAAAGAATTTTTTTTTTTTAAATTTACCAAAGCTTCGTATGTCTGTGACAATGAGAGGGAAGGAAAGATTTTAAAAAAAAGAATGTTAAAAAAAGGAAATTCTAAATATAAAAGAGAGAGAAAAAAAAGAATTTGAAAGAGACAGAGTGGGAAAAGGCGGGGGGAAAGACAGAACAGCGAATGAGTGAAAAGGAATAAAAGAGAAAGAGTGGAAGAGAGAGAAAGTGTGAGAGAATGAGAGAGAATATCATTCAGTGAGACAATATGTCGACTGTTTGATTCTATAAGAAGTCTTCAAATCCGTGTCTGTTCATTATCGCATTCGTTCCAACCTCCGTTCGCAGATTTAATGCCGGGAACGATCGTGAATTCAAATTTAATGTAACCAAGATTAAGCCGTTGAATTGAATTTATTTCTGCTTTTCATTCTATGTATGTTTGCGCGCCTTGGCTTTGTTTATATTCGTAAAAGCAAAGGAAGTAGAAAATTAAAAAATTTAAATCTATATTACTTACAATTACTCACATATAGCTGTCAATCAATTCTACAAGATAAACACGCAACTATATATATCTAATTCTATTGCAAAACTTTTTGAAAACGTTTACAATGCTTTTCTCCACTTAAATTCATTATTATAACAAAATATTTTTATCGTTAATATCTATATCTATCTATCTATCTATCTATCTATCTATCTATCTATATATATATATATATATATATATGAAGAAAAATTTGGAAAAAACAAACAAAAATCCTTAAATGCAATTATGTTGTTTAGAATGAATGAAATGTCGACGTCTGACGTTTCGGTTTAATAAACCTTTTTCAAGACAATATTCATTAAAATACAATTCAGTTCAATTTGACAAAGACGATGGACATAAACAACAAGTCTCATCCAAAACTGAATTGTATTTTAATGAATATTGTCTTGAAAAATGTTCATTAAAC